TTGGAGAAGGTGCTTCCCTAGGCCTTGCTGTGGCGTGGATTTAAAAATAAATGGGTTAAGCGGGAAAAAGCATTCTCCAAAAAATGGTTCTGGGGCAGCACTGGAGAGAGGGAAGGTGACTGAGCTGGGACCGGCATGGAGGTGGAGTTAGGTGCTTGCCTGGCTTTGCAGGACCCGGCTTCGTGGCAGTGTGAGCAGCTCACACGCTTCTGTCAGCTGCCCGGAGTTCATCTGTCGAGACCCTTTCCAGAAGTCATCCTGCTCTGCTTTCTCATCCTCCTGCAGTCAGTATCTCGTCGCTTGCATTTGGCGTCATTCAGTTGGCTGAATCCCACCCGTGGCTGGAGGGGCTGAAGAACATGAACTTTCATGGAGAGTCCCAGTGCCAACATGCAGTTAGGTGCTGCTTTTTAAAATACGGCCTCAAGTCACTAAGTGCCAGTAATTAATGCCGTTGTGACTCCTGAAGTTTTCTGTAGCACTGTGATAGTTCACATCACTGGTGAGCCGAAACAGTCACGGATTTCCTCGAGGTCCCTGGTCTTGGCCAGTTTCAGAGCTAGAACAGGCTTCCCTGTGAAAGCATGGGTGAAGATATGGTATGGATGTTTTTTTCTTCCCATAGCCTTGTTCTTTCCCCCCACCACTGTCCCTGCTTTTTTTCTGGCAACAAAGTGTTAAGATTCCAGTCAGCATCACTGGCGAAGGCTGGGGTCGTTGGGTACAGGTTGATTAAGGTAACCAGGGTTTTAGTTTTCCTCATGTGAGTGTAATGATTTGATGTTCATGCACTTTGGTCTGTTACAGCGGTAATATTAGTGTTCTATATTTGCAAGGTAAGAGTTGTTCATTAGCTCCTACCTGGCTGTTTACAGCTTTGCCAAAGCATTTTTTTTTTCCCGTTGAAGTGTGTCAGTGGACAGGTTAACCATCCTTTTTGGACTGAAGGCTTGGGTGGTTGTTTTAAGTACCTGAGCAAAAATACAGCGTCTGTGGATGATGGCAGAGAGGGTAGTGCTGTGCTGAGTGTATGTTTGTAGGGTTCGTGTATTGAAGGGTGGGCATCAAAGGAGACCAGTTCTTCAGGTGAGCACTGGATGCTGTGTAAATTGCATGGTCTGGGGGGGGAAAAAAACCCCAAACAAAAAGCAGAACCCTCATTTGGCATCTGCACAAAGGGCACTTTGTAGGCACATTGGCACACCTTTAATTTGAGTACTTTCTGAGTGGTGGATGTGCTACTCTGAGAGTCTTTGGTGCCTATTTTTTTTTCTTAATCTGAAATAGGTTCACTGTTTTTAGTTAAAAAAAAATAAAGTTGTTCTAACACTTTAAAATCCAGTTTTGTTTTGGAGTAGCGACAGAGATACATTGGAGAGTAGTCCAAGACTGTTATTCCTTCATGTTTTAAAATGCTTTATGTGCCTCAAATTTCCACCTTTGTTTTTTGTCTCTTTTTAATACAAAATCAGTTGCTACATTGGAATTGACTCCAGGTACAAACCCACTACTTTATTTTTTATTTTTCTTTATTTCTTTAGCAGTATTGCAGGTAAAGGTGTTGGGTTTGTGTTTCTTAATAAGGGTGCTCCTTTTCTCTTGCCCTTCTTTGCTCTACCAGTTCTGCAGTAAGCCTTGCATGTCAGTCTTTGTTCCTGTGGTGGCAGGATGGTGACGTCAAGGGGAACATTTTGATCAAGAAAGAGAAGTGTTCCTACGAGAGTAGATGGAGTCTTCTGCCATCTCTAGGCTTCCAGTTGCAGGATGACAGATAAAAATCTTTGTGCGTGCACAGTATTTTCCAGTGAAAGGTTCTTCTGCAAGACTTCCTTAATGCTTAGTTGTTAAACGTGCTAGGTACTAGGTGTAGTGTTGTAGTTCAATTTAGAAATGAAAAGGTTAAAACCTGAGTTGTGGAAGACCTGATTGTGAAATATCTTTGAGAGCAATTGACTCAGAAGTATGATCCTAAAGGAACACTTTACTTTTGTAGTTTTATTCATACTTGTTATGAAATAAATTCTGAATCCTACCTGGTAAGGCTTTTCACTTCTGTTAATTTTTATGTTCACAGGGAGATGATTTTTGGTTTTCTTGCTTTACAGCTTGGCACTGCGATTGGCTTTTTATTGCCACCTGTTTTGGTCCCAAATAAACCTAATGATATTGATCTAATGGCACATAACATCAGCATCATGTTCTATGGAACAGCAATAGTGTCCACACTTTTGTTCTTCTTAACAGGAGTTGGTAAGTGTTCTGTTCTTGCCATTGAAATGGTGGCCATAGGGAGTGTCACAACACCTCCCTCAAAGCATCTGGCACTGCTCAAAGTAGCTGAGGTTACATTTTCTCCAGTTTGCTTGTTTTCACTTTGCTGTTTTGCAGGGTTAAGTGACAACCAGTTTCCTCTGTCATGCTTCAAATGGGGTGACCCGTCCCAGAATATTCAGTTCACTGAGGCTTTTTGCTCTAATGACAATATGATATAATGTGAATTCTCTCTTAGTCTGACTATTCAGATACAAAGGTCTAGAGACACTGCAGGCTAAGTCTGTCTTTGGCTGTATGTTGGTAGGAGTCAGATGTAACCAAATAAATAGCATATCTTTTGTGCCTGTGACTTGATTTTTCCATGAGAAAATTGGAATTTTTTTCCAAGGAAGTTAAAACCCACAAGTTAATCTCTTGAAATTCATCAAACTGAAATACTTCAAAAAGAAAAAGCATTAGTCTGATGAAGACAAATCAATTGTTCCTTCTGTTTCCCCAGTGTTTGAAGAAAAGCCCAAATACCCTCCTAGTCACTCTCAAGCAGTCCTGCAAACTATGCCTCCCAAGGATTACTCCTACAAGCAGTCGATTATTAACTTATTCAGAAATATTCCATTTGTGCTTTTGCTGATCAGTTATGGTAAGTGGTGCTGCTGTCTATAGTCTGACAAGACAGTTGAAATGTGTGCTAAAAACCCACAGAGTTTCAGTTGTGGTGGTGTTTTTTTTATGGGGGAGGGAGTGTCAAACTTGTACTCACTCAACAGTCAGTGTTGGAAAACCCTGCAGGATTGAAAATACCATCTGTAGGTCTTGTGAAGAGATTTTTATCTGGCAGGTGAAAGGTTTTGCCCCCAATATGAGTCTTAAATATGAGATGAACCCTTTAGGGTGGCAGATCTGCATGGCTACACTTGGAATGACTGAAGGTTTTCTTTTGGTACTGCAGGTATTATGACCGGAGCGTTTTATTCTGTCTCCACATTACTGAACCAGATGATAGTGACTTATTATGAGGTGAGCTTCTTGGGTCGTCCTTGGGTTTGTGTCAGTTGTGTTTTATTTGGTACAGTACATCTGCAGAGGTGATGTTTGTTATTATGTAGGTGTTAAGTGTGTGCAGACATTTGGTTTCCTTTGTACCCCCTTACAGTGTCTTGCACCATGCAGCTATGGGAGTCATAGCAATGTTTGCTCTTATGACTGCCAAGAGGTCTGAACTTGACTCTGAGTCCAAGCAAGTTATTAATGAGCACCATATAAATATTTGTTGAAAGGGAGAAGAAGTGAACGCTGGGAGAATTGGCTTGACACTGGTGGTGGCAGGAATGGTGGGTTCGATTATTTGTGGTTTGTGGCTGGATTACACTAAAACATACAAGTAAGTGTGGGTAGGCATGTTTGGGGTTAAGGGTAGGAGAGTGGTGCCGTGGCATTAGAAAAATACTGCAACACAGGGGCTGGAGTGAGCTGATGGTGAATGGCAGGTCATCCCAGAGTTTTTAGCAGCCCTGGTGGAAACTAGTTGCTGAGGCTACAGCAAAAGCTTGAGACTCTTGCTGGTTCTTGGCCAAAAGAGAAGAGAGGAGATAGCAAGATGTAAAGGGGTTTACTGTCTCCTCCTGTCTCTTCAGGAGCATAAGGCTAGCAAGGAAAACCCTGTATGTCCTACATGCAGTGGCAAGGTGGCCCAGTGGGCTCCTTGTAGGAAAGCATCAACGTTCACAGCGTGCTCTGCATTGTTTTGTAAGATAGGCAGTTGATGGAGTCTCTTTTTTTTTTTAAATATTATACTAATCCTGGCCCTATTAGTAAGGATAACATTTGCTTTGATTTGGGGGATGACCATGGAGCAGGACTCCCTTCTGGGGTAGGTCCATCACCCGCGGTGTCACGCTCCACAGGAGTGAGCTGTGCCCTGCTTGTGGTGGAGTAGTTCTCCCTGAAACTCTTAGTACATTATGTGCAAGAGCTCTAGCAACTTACTGGGTGTTAATGCTGTAGATTGGCTTTGTTTCTGCATGTGTTTTGGCTTATAAATATGTGACATGTGCTTTAATATTTTGGACAACTTCCCTTGTTCCAGATTAAAAATAAATAGAATGTTGTAACAAGACTTGTCTGACTTGCCTCTTAGGCTGATTTTTATTGCTAATAAGAGTTTGATTTGGCTGCACATGTATTAATGTATTGTATAATGGGCCATGCTGCAGAGCGGCCAAGAGGTACTACATGGAGGAGAACTAAAGTAGTCTTAAGGTAATAGTATCTGCTGTGATTGTCCACTCTTTCAGAGTTTGATTATGTCTTCAGCCTTGAGTGAAGCAGCCATATAACCAGGGCAGTAGAAAGTTTGGGAAGAGAGAGGTTCTCACTGCATGACAGGTTTGAGTCAGAATTATGTGAAGCAAATATAGCTGTAGAATGTCAGTTGTTAGTAAGTAATGTTTGTTCTGCTCTTCCTTGCTTCAACAACATGCTAAGACCTTGTGTTAACAATGTTAATTGTTTTTGTTTTTGTTTTGATTGGGTTGCAGGCAAACTACTTTGATTGTTTACATTCTCTCTTTCATTGGATTGCTGGTATTTACTTTTACCCTGGACCTTGGATACCTTATAGTAGTGTTCGTGACTGGAGGAGTGCTTGGGTGAGCAACTAAAGAGAACTACAATACTTACTGTAGTTCTGTTCAGAAACAAGATTTGCATTTTTTAACTAAATGGTTCTACTGTATATTGTGTTGCTGTGCACTCAACTTGTGCCAGTGCTGTATCTGGATATGGCAGTCAAGGTAGAGCCAGAAATGTCCCAAGTTCCAGTTTAAAAACCAACCAACCTCAACTGCACTAATCCACTGCTCTTCCTGACACCTATCAGGCTGTTTAGCTTTTTCCACAGCCACTTCTAGCAGACATTCCAGTGTCCAGCCTCACTCTCTGTAGATGGTCTCATTTTATCCTCCAGCATGAATGTTGGGGCTGATCAAACGATGATGTTTATGTCCTTTATTTGAAAATAATTGGCTTCAATTATGGGGTGGCTTGTGGAGTGATCCGAGAAAGCTGTTTCATAGGTATGGAGGGGAGCACAGGTGGTTGTGGGAAACAGAACAAATACATTAAAACATCACTGTCCTAAAAAGAGACAGGTATGGCTAAAATTGTTGGATGTGGTTGGGGGAATGAAGCAGGCAAAGCAAGTGTTGAGTTGTGTTACATCTTGCAAACAGACAGGTCAGAATGCCAGTGAATTCATGATAATTACTGTGTGTGTCTGATTTTCTTAGCTGTAGTAATAGCTGAAGGCATCTTACTCTCCTCTTCAACAGGTTCTTCATGACTGGCTATCTCCCACTTGGGTTTGAATTTGCTGTGGAAATTACATACCCAGAGTCTGAAGGCACTTCCTCAGGTCTCCTTAATGCCTCAGCACAGGTTGTATGATTTTATTTTTCAGATGAGGCAATGTTTAGGGAGACCACTCTTTGTGAATCTAAGAAAGCTTCCTTAGACTTGGCTGCTAAGTCTCTGTTGCATTGTTGTAATCTGATTTTTTTTAACTTGGAACTTTGCAAAGTAAAGTGGTGACTTTTCTCTGTAACCCTGATTAAGTGACTTGTTTCTTTATAGATATTTGGAATTGTCTTCACACTTGTTCAAGGAAAACTCACAACAGACTACGGTCCTCGTGCAGGAAACCTCTTTCTGTGTGCTTGGATTTTTGTGGGCATTATCTTAACAGGTAATTAAACAGAAATGGAAGTAAGGATTTCTCTTTAATATAAAAATAGGGAGGGTTTTTTAGGTACTGAATTTCTGTGTAATTTTCAGATGTCTTGGGCATCTAGGATTTAAAAATGTAGCTCTTTGTCTGGGCTGACGGAAGTTGTAAGTGCAGGGTTTGGGGTTTTCTTGTTTGTGTTTCACATTAAATACTTGCTGTGCCTGCACCCCTTGATTTAAGGATGATGTTGCTAATACATGGACAGCTACCTGTCGTCCATTTCTTGAGCTGTATCTTGAATTTGAGGCAGATGTCTGTCTCCAGAGTAGGATACTAAATGTAAACAAACACAGAAATGGAGAGTTTGGTTTTCCAAATGCACGAAACTGCTGATGCATTCCTGAACTATGTCAATGACTTACACATGCAGGTACTTAAAAATGTGCTGAAAGTGCTAAAACCATCAAGCACTGCTTGAAGTATTCATGGTTTAAAAGCTTTTATTGTCATTTTCTGTGAGGAGCCAGTTTAAATTGTCAGTAAGTTCAAATTGCAAAAGAGTGAATGCAGATATTTTGAACGTGTGCTGAAAGCAGCTTCCGTGAGCTTGCACTGTGAAAATATTTCCCTTGCAATGCCTGTCATTGCAAAGCTTTGAAATACCTTTCTCTTTCTTTTTTTTTTTTTGTTTCAGCCTTAATAAAATCAGATTTGCGAAGACATAATGTCAATTCAGGGATTATGAACTTGGATGTTAAAGCTGTAAGTGATGACTCTTTCACCATGATTGCATTACTGTACTTGAATGCTGGGCTGCTATTGGCATAATAGTATTAACAGCAGAAGAGTAAATGACAAAAACTTCTTCCCTGCTGTTTTGGAATAACTGAGCTACATGGGACGCTCCCCTCGTATCTCTTTCTCCCCTTAGCTCCTGTGAAAATAACTAAAAGACCTGCTGCTCTCAGATTTTCCTGAATGTTAAATGGCTAATATTAATCTCTAATTTTATTGCTTGAATCTTGCTTTTTCATATTTGCAGGCAGCATAATAAATTGTGAAGCCTTTTTGTGTATTGGGTTAGGAGGTTGTGCTATAGAATAGGTATTTTATTTAAAATACCTGCAGTCTCTTTAAGTGAGGTCAGTGTCTGAGGAACAGAAGTCATGTTGCAGTTTCTGTACTCTGCTGCATGAAGAGCTGGATCTGCTCTTCTACTGAGCACCCTCTCACTTTAGATGACACGTGAGCATAGCACTTTCTGCTCTTCAGGAGCTCCCAAGAGCATGTTTCACCAGCTTTTCCAAATGATTACAGTTACTAGTAGAAGTAAGGCTGTCACTGGAAAGTGTTTTCACTGCTGTAGGGTTTTTGATCACTTGAATCAAGATAGTGATGGCTTTTTGGAGGCAGATGTTGCAAGATCCTCTGTCATGCTTCTTTTTTTTTATGCATAGTCATCTTGCATGGATAGCAGCTTTTGATAGCCTGTCATCAGGTGCACACTGTTAGTGTCTGCATAAGGTTCAGAAATTTTGAAGCTGGTGCTAGGAGTTAACTTGCACCCAAAGCCTGTGCAGCTGTGTGTGCACAGTGTGGCATCCTCTGGCTGTAGCAGCCTGGGTCAGGGTTGTCTCTGCAGTGTACAGCTTGGTTATAAGCAGTGGCTCATGATTTGTCTGTTCTCTCTTATCACCATGGTAATTAGCCCAGATTGTGGCACAGCTTCATTTGTATTAGCCAGGATATGACAGAAGCCCAGAGTCCTTGCTGTGATATTACCAGTTAACTTGCACCCAAAGCCTGTGCAGCTGTGTGTGCACAGTGTGGCATCCTCTGGCTGTAGCAGCCCGGGTCAGGGTTGTCTCTGCAGTGTACAGCTTGGTTATAAGCAGTGGCTCATGATTTGTCTGTTCTCTCTTATCACCATGGTAATTAGCCTAGATTGTGGCACAGCTTTGTTTGTATTAGTCAGGATATCACAGTGAGGACTCTGGGCTTCTGTTATATTACCATAAATAATTGAGAGCTGCCTATGGTAATAAGGCACTTTGATACCAATCTTTGATCATCAAGATTCTGTTGTGTTTAAATGCAGTGGAGAAAAAAACCCAAAAATTAATCTTCATATCAGAAATATCTATATACAGTAAATATATACTTTAGACTTGCACTAAGAAACACAGTTCTGTGAGTTTTGTGGTGGGGTGTTTTTTTTTTTCTGATTACAGAGAGAAGGGAAAACAGGGCTTTCTATAAGTGCCTGATTTGGCTAATTAACTACATACACTGCAGGAGTCTAACCTAATAATTAGTTCTGAGGCTGGGAATAGCTTCTGCTGAATAACAGCTTAATTCTTGCTTTTTGCTTTTTTTTGCCCTCTCCAGGTGCCAGTTGACAGTCCTGCAGAACCTGAAAGTACTACATTAAAAAGCCAATCAGCTTTATAAAAGCTGAAGGAAGGTGACTTAGAGATGCACAAGTTTGGTTGGCTACTGAATGATATTGGTGTTAATCACTGGATTTGTGTGTATGAGCAGTAAAATGTGTTTGGTGATACTAATGGTAGTTATGCAGTGCAAACTGTGAAGATGCCCAGTTCATTTTGCTCAAGGTGCAAACAATTCACCTTTGTATGGAATATTTCAATAGTAACATAAAAATGACTCATGCTGTGGAGATGTGTATGTTCAGGAAATGTACCTGGAGAAAATCTGGCATCCTGAAGCACAGTCATCGTTATCAGAAGTGTCTGATCTGTTGTTGATCAGTCTGCTAGTGCAGTTGAAAAGTCAGAGTAGGGAGCTGCACAGCTGGAGGATGTTCATGAATTCCTTTCTTAAAATGTATCTGTATTTTTTTTTAATATAAGCCAATGGTTCCTTTTGGGAAACTGTCTGTATAGCACAATACTGAAAGCAAGACATGACTGCAAATGTCTGTGTTTCATACTGGCATCTGACATTTCTTTTGCCTTGAAACATCTTGGTAGGTGTCAGAAGGCAGATAGAACACCACTGTCTTACAGGTTCACTGTAGCATTTCTTGGGAGATTTGAAGCTTCCCACTAGATAAATGGAAGAAAAAACTTTTCTTATTAAATACAGTGAAAAGGAGGAGAAAGGTCTTTGATCTCTCTACTGTGAAATATTTATAGGCAATGGAACACTACCACACAGGTTGCCTCCACAGAATATTTTCAGTGCTTTCTCAGTTAAAGTGAGAGGAGTACGTGTTTACAAAGAGCTGGTGCCTTTACTTTGTAAAGAAGTTCCTTGCCTCATCTTGAGTTTAATCAGTGCTGCTGAAGAAATTCCTTTTTTTTTTTTTTTTTGTGTGTGTTAAACCTCCTCTGAATATTTGTGGAGTATCAGTAAATGTGTTCTGTTGGTTTTTTTGCATTTATTGCTCTGTTGTGAATTGTATAATTTGTCTTGTGAAATTTTTGTGCTCGTATAATTTGAATCATGTCTTTTGCAGTTTGTTGAAAGCTGTAAGGATGACTGAAAGGAAAATACTGATGCTTCATTTTGAATTATTTGCTGTTTGTATCATGCATCTTAGCTACAAAAGGAACAGACTTCATTAACATTCACGTTGTGTTATTACATTGGTCTGAATTTGGGATGTGGATTTCTCCCTGCAGTGATTCTGAAAATTTTCCTTTATCTTGTGCTCTGTCTACACACCTAGAGAACTGATGTCACATAGTGGTGATGGGCCCCTACTCTTACTGGAAAGTCAGACCTGAGTTAGCAAACTTTGAAAACATTTAAGCTTTAGCAGTCTTTCAGCTGAGCCTGCAGGTTGGTACCATCAGTGACACCATCTCTCTGAGTTCCCACAGATATCCAGAAGGTGGAATCCTACTCAGAATTTTCCATGGATTGTTACAGTTGTGTATGGGGAACTTTTTAATTCCAAGGTAGTCTCCTCATAGGCAGGCTCTATGAGCAGAGTCCTCTGGTGAGACAGCTGAATAGAGGAGAAGTAACTCACAGATGTTCAGGTGGCAGGCAAGAGTACAGAAGCAGAAGTAGAGGTGCTTTCATCGTGCAGTTCATTGTGTTTAATGACTCACTGTGATACAAGCTGCTCCATCAAGGAACGTGCATGTTTTCAGCCTGATAGAGGAAAGTGACAGTTCCTGCCTTTTGCTAGCTGTAGGTGGTTTTTCCCTTTGGAAAAATTATAATGATGTGTGCCAAAATATATTCATTCTTTGGCAAGCTACAGATTCAGTAAACATTTACGTTTATGGCTTGTAACTGCTTTGTATTTCTGCTGTTGCAAAATCTTAAGTATTTTTGCAGTTTTGGGGGAGTGTTTTCAAAGGTTTAATAGGAAATCTTTGGCAATATCCAGAATGCTTTCTGAGATGTGCAGTACACACTTCAAATTCAAAGGTTGAGTTTGAATTTGAATTTAAAAATAATTTTAAAATTTCTTTGTTACTTGTTTGCAGTTTCTTTAGTTGGCTTCAGCTGATGACTGAAAAAATATTCTAGTCCTTCTGGCTCCTTACAGTTTATCTTCTGCCAAATTACTTGGCTCCCCTCTGGAAAGGTCCAAACAGGATTTTGGCATGGTGGAAACCCTGCTGGATCCCTGAAAAGAAAATATTCCTCATAACGAAGGCTTAATTACATGTTGGATTTAATATGTGCCCTCTAAAAGGAGCTGGAAAGTTGGAAACTGTGAGCAATGATATTTAAATAAAAGGCTCAGCAGCAAAATAAAGAGTGAATAAAGAACAACTCATTATTTTATGCAATAATCTTACCTGCCTGTCAAGAAACTGAGGTTCTAGCTAACGGCAGAAATAGTTTAGGGGTAGTTGGTGCTTTATTTTTTTAAGCAAAAAACATTCACACAATCAAGCATCTGCCTGGAATTGGAAACAGGGTTTCTGACTCAGCCTTGAGAGTCTGGCTCAGCCCTCCAGTAAGAGTAGAGGTCTGGGCTGGAAATGATAACTGGTTAAAGAGGTAATCACTTACTGAATGGAATTGCATGTCAACTATGAGAGGGTGGAATAGGAAACCAAGTGAGGTGAGACATCCCAGTCCCTGGCATCAGCCTTGGCTTTTCAGCATGCTTTTGTATGCCTCAGGAGAACTCTAGGAGATGCAAGAGAAGGTACGTAATGGTGAGTGAGAGCAACAGGGCTGCCCTGAGCCCCCAGGGGCCCAGCAGGGTGGGCAACTGCTCACTTCCAGCTACACCCATCAGAAATTAGCCTTGGAAATAACTCTGTTCCTTTCTTCCAGACCATGTTAAGCTTTTGCTAACTTCAGTGGGAAAGACAAAGAGAACATTGACCTGTTTTTAATTGAAATTCCTAATGTGGCCTTTAAAACCCTCATTTCTGTTGGCTGGGTGTGAAGATAGCAGACGTGTAAGGTATCGTTGGGAACTGCTGCAACTGGGTGCTTTGTTATTCTTCAGCTTGGTAGATAGTCCTTCAGAGCATTTGTTTTGTAGGTGAGTGTTTGTCTTGCTAAAAATGCTTTCTGTTGCTGAGTGCCCATGTTTTATGAGGAAGAAAGAACAAAGGAAGAAGTGGGAAGAATATACATGAATCATTTCAGGTTGATAGTGCTTTCCTAACTTCATCCTCTTGGTCATCTCTTCTATTCAAGACAGTCTGTTGTTTCAGAGACAATCACTGGAGTGCATAGAGCTGCCAACCCCTGTTGCCTAATGAAAAAATGCTTTTTGAGAAGTCTTTAGACTATCTTGTGCATCTACAACCAAGTGAAATTTGGTTAAGCTACAAGCACTTATTGCTTTAATTTTCCATTCTGTGGACCATGAGTTTTCCTGCATGAATGGGGAAGTGTGACCTTTTCAGCTGCTGTCTTTTGATACATGTGTGTACCACCTTCTCAAGTGTGATAGGCTACTAATGACTGAAAGACCAGAGATAAAGTTCCTGTGTCTGATGTGATTTCCCTGCCACCACCATTTTGTCTGGTCTCTGTGAAGAGGGGGAGTGATGTTAACGCATGGACTAGAATGAACTCAGCAAAAAATATTCCTACGAGAAATGTGTTTCCATGTAAGACCCATGGAATTTATTATTTACTGCTCATGTCATTGTTCTCATGAAGATAGCAAATATTTTTGCTCTAATATTTTTGGTTTTGTTGCTGTCCAATTCTTTGTTTCAAGACAAAACTAAAAATTCCTTGTGACTATTTTGATGGCAATACTGTACGTATGTGCATACGTGGGTGACATTGTTCCTTACTGTTACCTGTTACTAATAAAGTAGAGAACGTGTAACTTGGTTGGAGGCCAGATTACCATTTTTGATAGCTGCTGATACAGCTCATGGTCTAAAATTTTGTTTTTTCTTAGAAGCTGCCATTTAATGTAGGAAAATTTCTAGGTGAATTATATAGATGTGCATGCACATCTATATGCAGAGTGCATAAGCAGTGTATATAAAAATACCCAAGAGTATTTGCTTACAGAGAAATTTTCTCAGGGTGTGAAATTAAAGTATTAGCATAAGTACTTGAGTTACACTGCTCTAGCACAGTGATTTCTCCTCAGTGCTGGAAAAGGTCTGAGGAAGATAAAGTGCAGTGAAGCCCTAAAGCAAAGCAATCCAAAGGCAACTCCTTAAGTGTAGTGCAGATATTATTTTAATAAAGCATGCAGCTGTAGAGAGGTTATCTTGGGAGAGAGAGTGGAATAACTTCTTAGAGAGGATGGAGTGAGACATTACATTCAGTTATGGCCCAGCTTTTATTTCTAAAACCAGAGTTGTCTTCAGTGGGAGCACAGTTCACCCTTGTGAGCCCTCTGCCAAGGATTCTCACTTACCCTCAGGGCTCTGGCCCAGCACACCAGCTGTGAGCCACAGAAGTTTGAGGAACCTGCTTCAAAGAAAGCTTTTTTTAATTTTTTTAAAATCTCACTTTTCCACAAAACTGGGATTATTTCTAAGCTATTTTTATAGAAAAGATTCTTCACAGGAGGTTGCAGGTGGTGCAGAGCAGGAGAAACAAGCCTTTTGCCATAAAACATCCAGGTCAACAACACTTCCAGATAGGCTCGTCATTTTACAGCCAGGAACATGGAGTCATTTCTCTGACAGTATCTGTATGAGAACTGCAGGCTATACCCCCATTTAGCTTTGCAATTTAAACATTCCCACATCTAGGAAGGAACAATTACAGCAAATTATTATTGCCTTGAAGTTTGTTTGTTTTGTTCTTTCTTTGGTAGATAGTCAAGTCTTTCTTGAAGGAAAACAGCAGAAGGCTCATCAGGTAAGTGGGGTATGAGAAGCCCCCACTATGATTAGATAATTGTTTTTACAGCTGGTAGGAGGCCCTGTGTATCCAAAGCTAACAAGTGTTATCCCTTTGATAAAGTCATGAGCATGGTTAAAACAGGCAGGTGTGTGAAAGTCCAGCTGCTTCCTGGGCTGGAAGGG